CCAGCTCGCATAGCCTGGTGGAGGACATGAGAACGATTGAGGAAGGACCTGGCCAGGTAGAACGGCATGAGGACCTGATGGGAGGAATGTATCTCCTCGTCAACACACTATTGCAGGAAGGCCTCGACCAGTCAGGCTCATTGAACTCGACAGGAAATGTGGACGAAGTGCCCGAGAGCGAGGACGACGAGTTCGAGGAAGGAGAGATAAAGGAGGCTTTTCGTGTAGAGGAGTACGACGGGATCTACCTAGAACTGGGGCTTCTTCTATCATGTAAAATGCGGCTAAGGGATGCAAGCGATAGGGCTCAGATGATGCTGCAGCGCTACTTAGTGCGAGACGGCCACCATTTCGTGAGAAGAGAAGTGGAGAATCCCAGGAGGGTCGTCTGCGGTAGGAATCGTCAGATCGACGTCATAGCAGCACTACACGATGGCATTGCAGAAGGGCATCGAGGGGTACAAGCCACGTATGCCAAAATAAGTGAGCTGTACTACTGGGATGGAATGATGGACATGGTCGGGAAATTCTGTCGATCCTGCGTGCCCTGCCAGGAGAGATCCCGTTTAAGGCAGGGAGAGCCGCTGCATCCAAGGTTAGAGCGAGAGGTGGGGGCCGTAGTGCATCTCGATCTGCTTTTTATGCCACTTGGGGATCAGGGCTATAACTATATCTTCGATGCGCGCGATAACCTATCTGGGTTCGTAGACGGGCGTGCTATTCGCACCAAGACCAGGTTAGTCTTAGTGAGCTGCATCGAGGAATATTACTTGCGTTACCCTTTCGTCAGGGAATTCGTAATGGACAGGGGATCGGAGTTTACCTGCCAGGAGGTGCAAGAATTGTTATCAAGGTATGGTGTAGCAGCCAACTACACCACGGTCGCGCACCCCCAGGCAAATGCTCCCGTAGAGAGAGGACATAGTACCATTACGAGTCTCCTGGCTAAGTGGACCGAAGGTAGGCCTAATCAATGGCCAAGATACCTAAGGGCGGCGTTCTTTGTCGAGAACATTACAATAAAAAGATCCACCAAGCACGCACCGGCGACATTGTGGTATGGAAGGCACGCCACCTTCCCTATCGAGAGCTTTCTTAAGACATGGAGGCGCCAAGATCTGGAAGTTAACCTGTCATTTGAAGAATTGTTCGATATTCGGGCGCGGCAGATAGGAGCGATAGAAGAAAGGATCCAGGAGGCGTCTAACCAGGTGGCGAGAAGTCGTATGGACGATAAGGCTCGATGGGATCAATCTGCGCGGGTGAGGAAGGTACCCTTGGCAGTTGGAGATGTCGTGCTTCTCTACGATTCATCACTGGAGAAGCAATGGTCCAGGAAGCTCGATAAGAGGTGGTTAGGTCCCTACCGGATCGTACGGGTCGGAGACTTCGGAGCGTATCAGATAGAGGAGCTAAATGGGACAGAGTGGAAGGATTGGGTATCTGGAACGCGACTAAAGAAATTCGTGGCGAGAGAAGAGGTAAGAGAGATGACCTGACTGCCTTTAGAATAGAAGTAGCAGAGTGTGTAGGCTAGGTAGGGTGTATGCTGTATGAATGTGGTCTGGTCTAAGTTTGTTTGATTATCACCTGTTTTGCTTACCCCAATGTGTGCCTGTTGTCTCCTTCGCCTGTTGTGCAGGTCTGACTTTACGAAGACATCCATGCCAAGAGGAGGGAGGGGGACACGGTCGCCTCGGAGGCCGTTGGGAGCATCAGGAGGATATGAGCGATATGGGCCTCGCCATCGAGAGAGTACTCCAGTATACGATGATGGGGACATCGAGCTATTCCTGGACAACTTTTGGGATCATGCGAGGCGTATGGGCTGGATCGTGGCCCAAGCAATCGAGAGACTGAGGGGAGTCAGCAGATTCGAGGAGCCCGTCGCGCGGATCCGTAGAGAGGCGACGACGAGATCAGAGGTGGAGTGGAGGATGCAGGAATTGCGACCCTCGCCTGTGGGACCAGATGGCAGGCCGATCCGTCTAGAGATCGGAAACGTGGCAGACTTCATCCCTACTTTCGAGTGGTTCATGTAGGGGCAGGGTATACCGAGAGATGAGTGGGCAAGGACGCTACCACTCTGGACCAGGAAGGCGGAAAAGCCGCTGGCTAGCCAAATCAGAGACATGGCCTGGGACTGGGAAAGCTGCAGGGCACATCTAAGAGAGGCCTTTCGACGGCCAAAGCCCCCCCCCCCCCAGAGTCGAGAGACGTCAGAGGAGTCAGAGGTCGAGGAACCCTGAGCCCAGGGAGGTGAGACTGTCTCGGGGAGGACAGAAGGCCCTAGCCAGGAGAGAGGAGGAGTCGGAGCGGGAGACAGAGGTTGAGGAGTGAGGGGCATACCCTGAGTGTGGGTTGGGACCAGTGGAGTTTCATCGTTTTACTGAGGGTGGATTGAGGAGGTCACCAGCACACACACGGAAGGAGCCGCCAGTGTCTGAAGGGCCGTTGAGAGAGTTAGAGACGCATCTGGATATCTCTCAGTGGAGAGCGTCGCCTCAGGATGAGAAGCATGAAGAGCAAGTAGAAGGGGTGCCACGAGAGGAGGTACCACAAAAGGAGGTGTCACGAGAGGAGGTGCCACGTGAGGAGGTACCACGAGAGGAGGTGCCACGAGAGGAGGCGCAGGGTACTCAGCAAGAGAGCAGGTTAGGCGACATGGGGAGACGTGCAGGGAAGGAAGTGATAGAGGTTGGAGAGGACACACCCCCACAGGCGCCAGCAATGGGTTTGAGACTCGGGGATGCACCAGAGAGCGCCCGTCAGGCAGAGAAGAGATTGCGGAGAGAGAAGGCCCCACTTCCTTCATCAGAGAGGGCTCCATCGCCAGAGGGGAGAGCCGGCAGGAGGAGAGAAAGGGCAGTTGTAAGGAGGAAAGCCTTGACCCTGATTGATAGGCACCTAGCAGCTTATGCCCTGGAGCATCCAGACCTGGAGGAGCCAGTACCTGCAGAGCCGCGCCAAGAGCCGTACCAACCCGAGAAGGAGAAGGAAGCAGAAATCCCGAAGAGGGTCGACCTCCGTACGAGGGAAAGGGCGCCAGCTGGAGAGACGGCTGAAGAAAAGAGAGCGAGAAGAACTAGACGGATAGATGAGATACGGCAGGAGAGGCAGAGGTTGGAGGCAGCGGGGGAGCTTCCGGAGTAGCAACAGGAGAGGCAGAGATCGGAGGCAGCAGGAGCACTCCCAGGTCAGCCACCCAGCGCGCCAGCTAGGGCCCCGGAGATTCCTGAGATGTGGAGAGACTTCTGGGAGCAGAGAGGAGAGAAACTTCCATTGCCAGTCAGAGCCGGCTTTGGGATGGCCAGGAAGGCGGAAAAGAGGTTAGATCGTAAAATCAAGTTCCTGGCCAAGACCACTTTTGACCGACACTTGTTATTGGAGGGCGATCTGACAGGGAAGAAGATGAAGGAAGCAAGCAATGGAGTACGCCTGGAGGCTATGGAGATGGAAATTCAGGAACTCAGGGCCTTGGTGGCCAGCCAGGCAGCTATCATCAAGAGCCTGAGGCAGCAAACCCAGGGAAGGGTGGACAGGCAAGAGAGCAGCAGGCAGGGAGAGCAGAGGAAGCCAGGACAGGGATTGCCAGGACAGTCATCTGCAGCAGAGCCTTGCTAGGAGCCACCTATGGGGAGAGTTATCCTGGAGCCAGAGGAGGCGAGAGCCCAGAGACAGGCAGAGAGAGAGGCGTTCGAGTTTAGAGCCCCTACTTAGCTCGCGACGCTGCCAGTGGCGGCGGCAGGCCCAGTCGTACCTTTGGCAGTAGAGGAGGGGCTGCCACCATCTAGCAGTGAGCCGGCTCAGGGCTCAGCAGAGGGATCCATGGGCGTGCTCCTTGAGGCGGTGCATACTATGAAGGAGGAGGTGAGTTTGTTTTCACCTGAGCAGAGGATAGAGGAGCCTCTTGAGAGAGAGATAGGGATTGAGGCGGAGAGTGCCATCGAGAGCAGGCTCCAGAGGATGGGCACGCCTGAGTATGGGCCAGAGGGGATTGAGGAGCAGCCCATGGCAGTGCCAGGAGAGACACTCGAGAAGAAACCTCAGAGGTTGGACACACCTGAGTACGTCCCGGTAACAGGGGATTTGAGGAGCAGACTGGGGTTTTGGGCTACAGGATCTGGGTCTGGGGGACCGGTTCCTGGGACAGAGCAGCAGGAGGTCGTTAGTACCGCAACTCCTCAAGCAGAGTAGCAGGGGGTTGTCAGTACCTTGGCAGGATCTCCTTCATCACCACCTCCTCAGCCCAGGAAGAAGAAGTTCAAGAGGAAGGTTGATCACCTATGTTTCTACTGCAAGAGGAGCGTGCATCATGCTTTGGACTGTCTCGAGTTCCTTGAGGATAAGGCAGCAGGGAAGGTCTCAGAGGCAGGGGGTAAGATGTATGATAGACGGTAAGATGTATGATAGACAGGGTAGGATAGTAGAGAAGTCCGCAGATGGACTTAGGACTCAGTTATATAGGCAAAACCAGGAGGAATTGAGGAGATAGTGTCGGTGTGTCTATATAGGTGGGCGAGTATCTTGTGAGGCATCAGCTTAGGGTCTGTGTGATACCCTCTTAGACTTAGAGGATCTTTTTGATGATTGCTACTAGTGTAGATTTGAACTTTTGTGTTCCTACTGAGTTGGGGTTTTGAGGGTCAGGGTGGTTTAGATGAAGCATGTACATATTTAGGTGGCCTACGCCCTGGCCTTTGAGAGACCGATTTGACATGTATTCTAGGGGTAGTTGTCAGTGTGGGTTTGGTGTGGCTTGAGTTGAGCAAGCTATGATTTGGAGACACTTTCTGTGTGGGACATTGTACTCCCTGAGTGTATATTATGATGAGGTTTCCTTCAGGGACCATTCTTATATGTGACGATCACTTGTCTCTCTCACACGTGTGGTTGTACTCTGATGTATAATGAGTTTGTGTGGACAACGTGTGAAAAACCTTTTATGTATCTTGGGTATTGTGAATATGATTGTAAGTAAAACTGTCTACTCCTCGGTATACTTGTGCGACTTGCCCACGGGCAGCTGATAGGGCGGAGTATAAGGGGAGGAAGTGCAGTCCGTCTGTGAAAGGTTGTGAGGATTTGAAGATTTATGAACCCTGGAGGCTCAAAATGCCTATCATGTTGATTATTGAATGTCTAAGTTGTGATGAGGACCCATAAGATGGTCTCTCAGTGATTTTGTTTATGGTAAGCTCCTTGGATTTTGAAGAAGGGGATGCTTTTGTGACAATGTGGGTTATGATAAGACCCCTCGTGATTTTTGGAAGAGGGAGTGTTTTGTTTTGTGGCGAGACCCCTCGTGATTTTTGGAAGAGGGGGTGTTTTGCTTATGATGAGAGCCCTTTGGATTTTTGGCAAAAGGGGATGTTTTTGTTGTTGGGAGACTCACCTTCAAAGGTGAGTAAACTGATTTATGACATGGTAAGTTGCCTGATGAGTGATAAAGTCTGACGAAAAAGGGCCACTCTTTGGAATGTTTGAAAAAGTCGCAATGAGTGAAGGGCGAAAGATGTCTCAGGGTGAGTGGCTGCTGGCTCTGATCAAGTCAGGGGTCACAGCCTGGTGGATTTAGCGGTGATTTTGTTTGTAAGCATACGAAGGATGCCATGCCTATTGAGGGAGGGCTGGTAAATGCCTTCGGACCCCTGCGTATCGCGCAGTGGGCCTGTGATTTTGTTTTGCGACGCACCCGTTTAACCACACTGGTGCTAATTCTGAGACATATTGAAGAAAGGTCAAGCTAACGGAAAAGAAGTTAGTACCTCTAGGGCGTAACCTCATTGGATGGCTGCTAGCCGGCGCAACCTGGTTGCGGGACCGCGGGGTAAGAGTTTAAGGGGAGTTACCCGCCCCAGGGAAATTACTCCGTGGGATAGTGAAGGTTGAGATTTTGGGAGGTCCTGATTGAGTGCTTATCAGGAGAAACCCTATCGTTGCATAACCAACGAGGGTACTGCCGTTAAATAACAATGCGGTGGGCCATAGTCCTGGTCCGTTCAATTAGGTTATGGTGGTTCAAGATGGAGACCTGACCTTTCTGTACTAGACTGCAGAAAGAGCGGAGTGGATATTAAGTTTACATATATACTTATGTGTATTTGATTATGAGAGATTTTGAGAAGGAAGGCGAGAGTGCCTTAAAAGGTCTCGGTTAAGGCCCGCGTCCCTAGTTTTTGCCAGGACTAGGGACACCCAACGAGAAGCTGAAGGTTGTCTAGGACCGGGGAGAGGACGATTGGGAAGGTCTTTGGAACTTATGTTGTCAGCGTCCTAATTTCTGGGCAGTAAGAGGCCTGGGTTCGAAACCTGGCAGCATATAGTTGTGGAGGCATGGTTTGATTGAGGCCTCTACCCTGTGTTTGTCGGCTAATCGGATTGGCTCACTTCTTTCTTCAGCATTTGGAATGTGAATGGATTTATAGCTTTCAGATTTCGCGAAGCGACGGGGACGTCGCTTAATATGATCCGGTAAGGCTGTCGGTGCGAATACCCTTACAAGGGTATCTGCCCTGGCTTTTGCAAGTAACAGAAAAATGGTTTTTGTTTAGAATTTAAGTATACCGCGCTAAGCGCGGCTGCGTCTGTAATTGCGTTGACTGGGTGGTTGACCACAATAGCGAGTGCATGAGCGCGCAGGTTTAAGGCGCCCGTGATTCTTTTCTGTTGTTGATCGTAAGAGTCGGCTCGGACCTCGGTCGTTTTGCTTGGTGATATTATTATTTATTTATTTTTGATTAAGCAGGAATTAAGGATATTTTCTTTTTGGTACATTTGGCCGGGTCAAGCGCGCGTGCGGAGAACGACCCCGACGACGGCATCGACACCGATGGTACGGCCTCGTGCGGTAAGCGGGGTGTCGTAGGATGGCGTGCGGGGCAGTTATGGCACAGTATAAGCCAGTCGGCGCGGGCACTGGGAGCCGCGCAGCCRGTTTGTTGGGCAAAAGCRCAGCGCCGTTCCGCCTTGTATGGTACTCTGCGGGCGTTGGTTTCAGGYTTGGGCTTAGCCCTATAGGTTACGAYTTTGGGCTGACATTACGGAGGTTCGGGGATCGAGGTYGGCAGGCATCGGTGCARCAGTTACAGCGGAGCAACGTAGAGAAGACTGAGGGGTCGAGGGCCCGACGGGGCTATCCCCCTYTGTTCTTGTTTACAGGAGCGGCGGAAGGGGCCGATCCGTAGGGCTCSCCGTTAGTTCCCCGCTCTATTTTTATTATTTTTACTTTTTCTCTTCTTCTGTTTATTTTTGTTTTTACTCACGTCCCGTTCTGGGACGCAATATCGAGCCTGAAGCAGGGCCACGTAGAGTGTGTTRTACKCACGGGGCRCATGAAGTAKRGCKGCAAACTGTTTCRGKATTACGCTAAAGCACYCGGTTATGGTGTTCTGGGGGCTTTGTAGCAGCCACATCCGTGTTCACGCCTCCAACGAGGGAACATGCGGGGGCCGCACCCACCAGCAGGGGTGATSCCTGCTGTAGGGGGCGGGTGGTGCCAGYCGAGGTCAKTCGACAGTATCGAGACCGGGCTTTTCCAAAGGMCCGGTYRATGTGCCTCTCCCCCAKTCCCCTCCTCCTATGGGCACCAGAGGGTGATGAGCGTGGGAGTGGTCGGGCGGCATCGGGCAGTCGAGAGCGCTAAGGCTGAGAAGAGGGGTACTCTCCGACTTTGGACATGACGCGGAGTGCTACGGTAGCGGGCGTTGGGGTTGTGGAGCGAGGCCAGAGGAAACTCTGGCGGAGGCTCGCAACGATACAGACGTGCAAATCGTTCGTCGGACTTGGGTATAGGGGCGAAAGACTAATCGAACCGTCTAGTAGCAGGTGCCCTCCAAAGTTTCGCTCAGGATAGTTGAAGCTGTTGAACATTTTATCGGGCGGTATGTGACCGGGTGCTACGGCAGGGGTTACAGAGACAGAGACGAAGTGCGAAGGTAGCGGGCTGGCGACGGGGTGACTGGCTGAGGGAGCCGGAAGGCCCGTAGCGGACGGGGATGAACCTGGTCGGGGGTCCCGCCAGGTGCATTCGGAACAATGACGGGGTGACGAGGACGAAGGCCTGCAGCGGGGCGGATGCGGGCGCAGCAGAGAGATGGGCAGTCGGGCGACACCGGGCGGCAGCAAGCGTAGGCAGGCAGCAAGCGGAGGACGGCGGCACAGTGAGGAGGCAAGCCAGCGGGCGCAGCAGAAGGGGAGGGGAAGCCGAAAGAACCCGAGCGACTTTCTGCGCCGGGTGCATTTCGAACGGGAGATGGTGGAAAACGCGTGGGGCGGAGTGGGAGACGTGAAGTTTGCTTGTTTGTGGGCAGTTTTGGCCGGGGGAAGGGTGATCCTCGGGTTTTGGCCCCGGGCGAGAAA